GTGGTTCTTCTGCGGGCCACTGTCATGAGTTGTCTTCCACTGTGCCAATTAGCTCTCCATCTCAGCAAAAGAAAATGAGACTGATTAAATCAATTTGACATGCATCCCTCACCAGGGTTGACAATGTCCACTTTCTGCTCTCTATGGTCCAGTGTCTTCAGTTCTGTTTTAGGGTGCTTTCAATCTGAGAACCCGTAATTGAACTGCAGTTCATTACTATTCGCTTCTCAAATCTCTATTTAATTATACCTTGTATTTTGAGGTTGTTTGAATGTACCAACGTCATGTAACTTGTTGTGATCTCAGATTTTGGGCAGACGTGATACTGTTTTTGTCCAAATAGGGGTGGATCCCACAAATGTAGACAGGGACAAAAAGGCTTTTACAAAAAGCTTTATTACAGAAGGCGCAAGACCAACAAAGTACAAATTAGGTTGCTGGTACTCAGAATCAGGATAAAGCATAATAAACAAGAAGCGCTTGCAGAAGGCAAGGAGAAAAGAACGTAAATCGCTTGTCATAAAAAGACAAGAAAATCCAATTATGAGAAAAATACAAAAGAGCACTATGACTCATACAACATAAACACAATTTACAAAACGAGATAAACTATGGCATGAACAAGAGCAGAATGAACAAGTTCACAAACCGAGAAAATAATTACTTGCGACGAGAGTCGTGAGCAAGGCGAATAATCCAACAGCAAATGGTCGGCGTGGCAGTCCTTAAGTAGTCCAGTGCTCAAAAAGCACCTGTACAGGACGCCGTGTGCGACATGGTCCGTTCTCGAAGTCGATTGGCTGTTGTGAGGCATTTTATAACTTGGGCCAAGAGGCAAATGTGCCGATTTTCTGGGCGCGGCCCATAGCACCAAACGCCTTGTGTAACAGTGCCCGACCGCGTGAAATGCATTGATTTGATGTATGGAATCGCACCACCAGAAATGCTCACCTCACGTCTGAACGCAGCACAAATGTGTTTCATGGCAAAGAGTTCTTTTTAATGTGGTCCAAATTTCATCGTGTGCAGCCTTTGCTTTTTGAAGTAAAAATCTCTCAGGATGAGATTGCCGACACTGACCAGCCACACTATTATGATGAGCATCTTCTGCCTTCTTAAGGACTCAGGATGAGATTGCCGACACTGACCAGCCACACTCTTATGATGAGCATCTTCTAATAATGTCACATTTTTAGTGACACTGTGTGTGTGTTTTGGTTGTAGATAGCGGGGGTCGTGGCAGATACTATGAGGTGACTTGCATAAGCAATAAAAACAGAAGTCAGAGCGGATGATGTGAGACCATCGAGAGCCTGTCGGATGCAACACACCCACACGTCCCTCTCAGATGTACAAGAGTCTCGTTTTCTCCAGCTCGGCTCTTCCTCTCATCCCTCTCCTCATGTTAACCCCATTGCTCATCTGTTTTTTGTTCTCTCTCTCTCTGTTTTTTCTGTTCTTTATCCGTCTGTGTAGGCAGCCCGTTGAGTAACTTCTTTGACGTAATTAAACAGCTTTTTTCAGACGACAAGAACACCCAAGCGTCCCACTCCCCCGGCGCTCCTGTCGAGTCTAGCTCCCCCGCCAAGCATGCTCCCGGCAGCAGGTCCCACCAGCCCCCGCCCAATGACTCGAAATGCCCCGCTGGCAAAGACAAAACAAAGACGGCTACCAGGACACAAGAACAACCTTAAGGAGCAGTCGCTGTGCATGTCTAGACGAGAAAGGTTGTTAACGGGTCATGAAACAAGATGGAGAGCTGCTTGTGTGGCCCTTTAGATGGGACACACCACTCAAATATTTCTTCTTTGCCTCTGGATTTTATACAGCATAATGGGAATGGCTATTTCAATTAATTTGTAGCAATTGTACTGCAGCTGTGTTGGCTCCGCCTTCTGTCACACTCTCTGTCCCCGGGGTGTGTTCCTCCCATGTTTGATAGCTTGACTTGTCTCTGTTACCAGGGATCATCCACAATAACTATTAACCTCGGCACCTCCTTGAGAACGGCCTACAGCGGCCGGCCTGCTTGCGGCCCTCCGTCGCCACCAGCGTCTGCAGAAAAGACTGAGCACTCTCCCTCACTTGGCTCCACTTCCCTCTCTTCAAGCCCGTTGTCAGTCCCATTTCACCCCCCCGCCAGCCCAAACTCTTCCTGAATGAGTTGTAAGAAGGAAAAAAGAGGAAAAAAAAGTAGTAGCCTTAAGACAGTGACGTTTGTCCATTCGCACACATCTTTAACTTTATTTTTGCTTCAGTTCCTCCCATGTGTACATGAAAACATGCCGATGTGAACAAAACAAAAATGTGGGATGTATTGACTTGCACGCAAACGATAGAAGGAGGAAGGAAGCAGAGCCAGATGGTGAGAAGGATAACTTAGATGGTCTGTGATTCTTTATCAAGATCTCTTTCATTGGATTTTTAAGCTTTGGGTCATTAGTTTCGAATGCGGCCCAAAAATGCGCGGGGCTCGGGATGCTGCATTAAATGAATGATCTTCTGTTGTACAAATTAAGTGTTGTTTTGTAGCTACATAAACTGTTGATGTGACATGTTTTTAGAATTATTTGGAGATGTTCTGTTCTCAGTAGTGAAGGCCTGGTCACATCGGGAACCCATAACTATCGGAAAACATTGAATCCTTGGAATTGCAAAGATGATATTGGGGGGGGGGGGGGTAATAGAATTTTACAGTTTGTTGTACGTTTGAAAACATTGTATCCCTGCAGATGTCAAAGCAGTTAAAACAACATTTGCGTTACAACTAACCAGATAATTGATGTAAGTGGGCTAGCATCCCTACGAGTATTTTTCATTTGGCGATTTTTTTAAAATTCGTAATTTCGACACGAAACGACGACTGAATCCAATCACCATTTGGCATTTATGTGTGTATTATTTTGCATGCATTTTTTTTATTTTTTTTTTACAATGAACGCAGGATGCCTTGACCTGCTGTGACTGGGCCTCTCTGACAACACATCAACCCATCTCATTTTCCTTTTGCACTTTTAATGAGTGGATCAGAACATTTAACCCCTGACTTGAAATGTTTTTTTTTTGTTTGTTTGTTTTTTTTTTTTTAATCGAATGCAGGATGAAGATTGAACCAATGCTGCGTCTATTTTTGTACTTTATTTTTGTTATTAATTTATTCTCTCTTATTTATAAAATATGTTGAAGCATTTTTGGTCCCATTATTTGCTTTTGCCATGTTTATTTAAGTTATTTGGCGGCAGAGATGTTTTGTGGAAGTTCATTCTTTTTCTCTCCCTGGGTGAAAGTAACCTTGTAATATATGTTTGGGGGGAAATGATTGACCCTAACTTAAGAATGTAGACGTAGCTCTTTGAAAGGAACAATCCCTTTGTTGTTAATTATCAGTTTGTATGATGACTCAGATCTCACCAAGCGCTCATCTTGTAAATAAGACAGGTTGACTTACAAGCTTGTTTCAACACACCAGGAGGATTCCTACTTAGTTTTGAACTCCAAAGGTTGTTTGCATGTTCAGCATTTGTCTTTTCTTTGCATGTCGTTGTAAGACTTGTTCTCCTGTTCCCTTTTTCTCTTTCAACTCATTTATGTTACCAATGTGCTTTGATCTTATTGAGTCATACTTTTTCCTCTGACCTTAACCACTTCTTTTCGTTGATGTGCATACCATTTACCATGCAATTCATCCTCCCGACTTTGTGTCTCTCCACGTGGGACCTCGCTGGCGACCGGGTCACACACTCAGCTGCGTGGCTGTTGGCTATTCAGTGAGCAGTTAAAAGCAATATCTTTCATTGTTGGCTTTCCTCTTTTTCTACATTGGGAATACAGAGCACACAACATGGACTCGGAGGATAACGAATGAGCGGGATCACCAGTGGCAATGCATTCCCTCGTGATGTTACTGTGAACAACTTCAGTGCTAAAGAAAATAAATCTGTTGACTTTGGAGATGGGTGTACTTTTGTTAAAACTGTTGAGTCGACACGTCAAGGGTATACACATTTGGGCTTGATTGTTGTGCTGCATAATCTTTGCAGTGATTCTTCAAATAATAATCCGACTTTATTTGACCTCATAAAGACACGCGTCGGTCTAAAGAGGACCATCGTGGACTCCCTTGCTATTAAGGTTATGAGAAACAAACAGTTGAACAATATATTTTTTTTAATGTGTTATTTTAGAATATCAACGATTTCAGGGCATCAGTCTCACAAAACTATTGTCGAAAATGATTTAGAGGGGAAAAATTCAGGTCATTCAAAATAAAGCATTTTCAATGTGCAGTATGTGTCTGGTGTGTTGTGGTCGAAGTTTTGTTTGGTGTGTCATCCTTTAAATAAATTGACCACCCACTCACTCTTGAAGTATACAGTGTTTGTTCATTCAAAGGATTTGGAAAAACAATTCAAGGTCCATTACACGGTGTAAAAAGAAATGATAAAGACGTGTCAATACATTCATGTATAGCGCACGTTGCCTCGAAATTGAAATACTTTGTAAAATTCCAAATGAGACTAGACTTGGAGGGGGGGGGAATAGGAGTCTAAAATCAGTCGGAACTTCTTCAACTAAATTTCATTTTTCGTTAGACTCGTCTGTACCTCACGAGACATCAATTTTCAAACATCAAATGAGTAAGCTGCATGTGCGTTTTGTTAAATGTATTTTATTTTATTGGTTGCAAGGTGGAAGAGTGATAAACACATCCACCTCACAATTCAGAGGTTGTGTGTTGAAATTCGGGCTCTGGCCTTCCAGTATGGAGTTCACATGTTTCCCCCCATTCCTATGTGGGTTTTCTTCTGGTATTTCTGTTATTATTCACATTTCCAAAAGATGCATGGTAGGTTCATCAACACTCTAAATTGTTGTCTAAGTTGTTGTGAATGATTGTTTGTCTATATGTGCCCTGTGCCTGGCTGGCGACCAGTCCAGGATGTACCCTGTCTCAGCCAAAGTGACCCGAGTGAGGATAGGCAATAAATAGAACAGATGTGTTGTTTTCAATTTTTATTCCATAACAAAACACCAGCCTGACAGGGATCAACATTAAATGGTGAGATAAAAAGTTGTGAAGAGAGTAAGAAAAATATATATCCAAAGCGTAAGTAGAATCACAGTCATGCATCATCTCGCCAGTTCGTTTTCCCATACGATATGGTATGTTCAAGAACATGATGGTTCTACTCGCGACAACCAGTATGGAGAAAGTAAAGTCTGTTAATCAGTGCTGCCTCCAGATTCTTAAGGAGGCCATCCTGGTTCTGGTCCAGTCCCAGACTATACCACTTGCCCGTCCTTGTGCAGAACTGCTCCTGCCCACTCGCACAGAACAGCAGGCGATGGAAGTCCTCCCTGCTCAGTAGCTGCTCCATGTTCTTTAGGAAGAATCCTTCACAAAACCTGTACAGGTCACCGGCTCTGTGGAGCTGTGAAGACACACACATCCATTATATTGATAGTGACTTGAGACAAATTCATGCAGGTCTTTAAAATGTAACTTGTCACTCAACATCTTCATCACTAAACCATAATTGCAGGGTGTTTAGTTTTGTCAATGGAAAATTTGGTGTCTTCTCATGGGCTCACCAACTGTGTGAGCGGCCATCGGGGTCAGGTGGCCTCACACTGCCTTCGAGTCAAGGGGATGGTTCCTGACTGTTGTTGATGCCGATGCACCAACTGAGGACATGCTTTTTGAACATACTGGGATTCACTCCTGTAAACGAGAGGGAGGCCTCACTCCGCCTTCAGGCCAGGGGGATGGGTCCTGACTGTTAGTTGTGCCTATGCACCGTTCTACTGGGTGACTTCAGTGCTCACATGGGCAATGACAGTGAGACCTGGAATGGCATGATTGGGCGGACTGCCCCCTCCACAATCAGAACCTAAGTGGTGTTATGTTAGCAGTGCACCATTAACACTGTGTTTAATGTAGATGGGTCGGAGCTGACCTCGACTCGGGATGATGTGAGTCGTTGAGGAGAATACTTGGAAGACACCCTCAGTTCCACCGACACACATTCTTTTGAGGAAGCAGAATCTGGAGACTCTGGTAAGGTCTCTTCACTTCAGGGATGATGGAAAGGCGAGTCCAAAGGGATACCAAATTTCAGATTCAGGCGGAGTAGTGTGGTTTTTGTACTGGCCATGGAACAGTGGAACAGCTCTACACTCTGAGCAGGGTCCTCGGGGATGCATGGGAGTTTGATCAACCATGTGTTTTGTGGCCTTGGAGAAGGCTTTCAACTGTGTGCCTCTAAAAATTCCGTAAGGGGTTGCTTCGGGAGTATGGGGTACCAAACCTAGGGACTCAGAGTCAACCCGCTGCTCCTCCGCATTGAGAAGATCCAGATTATGTCGCTCTGGCATCTGGTTAGGATGCCTCCTGAATGAGCCACTGTGGTGAAGAATTCCGGGCAAGTCACATCGGCTGGAGGCTATGGGGATGACCCAGAACACGCTGGAGAGACAATGCCTGCAGGCTGGCCTGGGAATACCTTAGGATTCACCAGAAAGATCTGGACGAAGTGACTGGGGAGATCAAGTCTGGCCCAGGATTGTAGTCTTGAAGTCCGGACTTACTCCTTGGTTTTTTTTTTTTTGGTCTCTGACTTGTCTCGGACTCAGCTGTTGGACTAGCAAAATATATTTATCAACTTGACCAAGTCCAACTATGTTTTTACTCCTGAAAATTAACGTCAACCTGCTTTTTTTTTTTTTTTTTGGGCTCTGACTTGTCTCGGACTCAGCTGTTGGACTAGCAAAATATATTTATCAACTTGACCAAGTCCAACTATGTTTTTTCTCCTGAAAATTAACGTCAACCTGCTTTTTTTTTTTTTTTGGGCTCTGACTTGTCTCGGACTCAGCTGTTGGACTAGCAAAATATATTTATCAACTTGACCAAGTCCAACTATGTTTTTTCTCCTGAAAATTAACGTCAACCTGCTTTTTTTTTTTTTTTGGGCTCTGACTTGTCTCGGACTCAGCTGTTGGACTAGCAAAATATATTTATCAACTTGACCAAGTCCAACTATGTTTTTTCTCCTGAAAATTAACGTCAACCTGCTTTTTTTTTTTTTTTGGGCTCTGACTTGTCTCGGACTCAGCTGTTGGACTAGCAAAATATATTTATCAACTTGACCAAGTCCAACTATGTTTTTTCTCCTGAAAATTAACGTCAACCTGCTTTTTTTTTTTTTTTTTGTGGCAGCGACACATTCAAGTTCGTTCATTTGCTTTGAATTAGAAGCTGTTTTGTAGACGCCTTTCCTCCTCATCTCTCCCCAGAGGTTGAGCACCATTAATAAAGCAACATTGTTTTTGAAATTATTTTGGTTGCTCATCCGCACACTTGGTTAATAAAGCAAACGTTCCATGCACTGTTGTAACTGAATGAGTTCAATGACCGAAAGGTTATGGTCATTCATATTTTGGGCTAATGTGAACTGAACGAAGTGTATTTCTGCCTGATCAAAGTTTTTGCAAACACATTCATTCTGGTACCTGAGAACGGTTTTTGAACGACAGTTCATTATTCTTCTCAAGAGTGCCACATTTCATTAGTCTTCCAGGAGAAAACCCGACAAAACAAATGGTCAATGAGCTTTCATATGTCGGGGTGATAAACACCGTATTTGGAAACCTGAGTAGTACAGAGCCTCCCGCAGTATGTTAAGCATAATGATGGCTTGGAGGTGTGTGTGTGTGTGTTGGGGGTGGTGGTTGCCACATTTGGTAGTCACTATTTGGTTACCAACAAATAGTAAGGTCCTTGTGTGTCATTTCTAAGGTCCTTGTGTGTTACTTCCTGAAAGACATTAGACAAACTTGCGGGGGTCTCAGCATGCGTCTGGGTAGCCTGAAGACGGGAGGGGGTTTAGTGTGTGATAGGTCATTTCCTACTATAGATTGTATTTGTGCTTGCATCATAACTCTGAGTACCTTTCATGAGAAATGTCATCAACAGGAATCCTAACAAGCTGCATTAGCAATGGCAATTGTTGTCATCTAATTTTTTTTTTTTTAATGTGCATGGGCGCAGAAAAATCTTGACCAACTCTGGTTTGATCATTAAGCAGGGAAAGTTAATATAAAAGAAAAAAAAAACCACTAACTATGGCCATCAAGGTCTTTGGATGAGATCACCATGCATCAAAAGCTCTTGTGAACACGGCGGACCTCTGGAAATTCAACAGCTACAAGCCTGTGATTGATGTGTCACGTTAAATCCACAACAATGAGTTTCACAGAAGAGAGGAAAGAGTCGGAGATTATTGAAGTTCGTTTTGTATTTGTTACTTAACAACAACCTTCATGAGTCAATGTATTGTGCTCTAATGTTGAAAAACTACAGTCCTTAATTTCTCATTTAAAAAAGAGCATTCAAGTAACAAGCAAGACAGTTTTTCCTCATGAGATTGTAGAGTGAAATGATTGATGTGTCACGTTAAATCCACAACAATGAGTGTCACAGAAGAGAGGAAAGATTCGGAGATTATTGAAGTTCGTTTTGATGAGCCTAGTTCGAGCCTACAACGATGAGCCTAGTTCTGTTTTTTTTTAACCAAGAAATGACCAGGTTCGTGAAGAAATGTTTAAATTGAACTTTCCAAGCACTGATTTCATGCCTTCTAAGAGTGTTGAGCAAAATGAAAATTTTCAGTTTTTTTTTGGCCATCCATCCATCCATTTTCTAATTTTCTTATCTTCACGAGGGTTGCGGGGCATGCTGGAGTCTTTCCCCGCTGTCTTTGGGCAGTAAGCAGGGGACACCCTGAACTGGTTGACAGCCAATCGCAGGGCACACAGAGACGACAGCCACCCGCGCTCACACTCACACCTAGGGACAATTTGGAGTGCCCGGTCAGCCTGCCATGCATGTTTTTGGAAAGTGGAAGAAAACCCACACAGGCACGAGGAGAACTTGCAAACACCACACGGGAAGTCCGTGACCTGGAATCGGACCCTGCACTTCTGCACTGTGAGGCCAGCGTGCTGACCAGTCGACCATCGTGCCGCCCTTTTTCTGGCCGTGGAATTTGCATTTTTCTTATTGTTTACTCCTGATCTCATCTGGACTTGGACACGGACCTTTTTAGACTCTGACTTGATTTGTACTCACTCGGACCTCTGTGACTCGAATTTGATTTTAACTCAATAAAGGTGGACTTGACTCCAAACCTGGTCTGGCCTCCCCAGCTAAAGCCGTTGCCCCTGCGATCCAACCAACGGGTAAGCTTCTATGAAGAATGAACCACTCAATGAGAGATATTCTTTTGAAAACACTTTGGCCAAATTGGTAGGCTCGATAGGGTTGAGAAGATACCTTGCTGGTGTGGTAGATGTCAACAGCATTATCCAGAGTCAGGCTTTGTGACACCTTTATCTCACAGTATCTCTGCAGACCTGTAAGCTGGAAGAACCTGGCAGCAGGCAACAGCTGCAAAATAAAATAAAAACAGTATGTTAACATAATATTAACAGTAAGTGTCAAAAACATTGATTCATTGTTGGTGTTGCATCGCTATTACTCTCAGAAGGGACCTTGATATGGCATGCAAACGCTGGCATCGGTACCTGAGAGTACTAAGAAATAACGCCCTGATGCCATTTGCCGAATACCGATACTAGTATAGAACTAAGCACAGCGCCTTGTGTATTACTCTCGCATGGCGCTCACTGATCTGTGATCGCACGTGTTCAGTTGATAGCTCTCGCTAAGGACCCTTACTTCTGATGTCATTTTACACACAATGCTTTGTTTCCGCTGGCATATTCAAGGAATGAAAACACGAAGAGGAGCTTTATCAACTTTGTTAGCTTTATCAGTCATCGATCTACTTAATGTCTAGTTTGGTGAAAAGGGCCCCATAAGGACACCTGTCCATTACATCTACACATTGGAAGCAGTCGCTCAAAGTCGATGATGTAGAAACACTAAAGTTGGTTCGAGGGAAAGATGACGGGGTTGGGTTTGTAACAAATTTAATAGATGTAATTGTACAACTGCATTAGACAATGAAAAAAAAGTTTTGTTTTTTTTTTTAATACACTTTTTTGTGATACAAAATTTGACCTTTTAGCTCTGTGGGGTTGGGGTAATGTGTACTGAGAAGTCATTAAAAATTGTCAAACAATCAAAAGAAGTCGAGGTCAAGGTGGGGCGGTCATCGACTGGTTAGCGCGTCGACCTCACAGTGCGGAGGTGCCGGGTTTAATTCCAGTTCTGGCCTCCCTGTGTGGAGTTTGCATGTTCTCCCGGTGCCTGTGTGGGTTTTCTCCGGGTACTCTGGTTTCCTCCCACATTCCCAAAACATTCATGGGAAGTTCATGAACACTCTAAA